GCCTTCACAGCTCCTATTGCCCAGCCCCAATAAAATCTCTCTGACTTCCTCATTGGCCATTGCCCCTTCTGTGTTTTCCTTTCCCCACTCCAAGAGTAGGGCCCAACCCTCTTCAGCTGTGTCCTTCTCATTTCTCTGGTCGTGGTCACCAAGTCCCACCTGTCCAGGCTCCCTGTGCTTATCACTCTTGGATGAGAGAGATTCCTATCTTCTCTCTGTCCCCTCCACTCTCCACGTACCAGGGTATGGCTCTTCTCCTCCCCTTACTGTCCTGTTAGGAGCCTCTTCAAGAGGTAAGAGAACTTCACTACAAACTACAGTTATTATACTTATGGGTTGATCACTACCTCCTTTGTCTATGGCTCCACTTCTGGCTCTCGGCCTCTTTTCATAGCCTGCCCCGCCCCCTGGCCCCTTTCCCCTCTTCCCCCATCACCTGGAACAACCTTCTGCTTCTCACCAGCCAAATATCCTTCTGTTTCCTTCCTGAATCCCTACTCTAAACCTCCTTCTTCCACAGGGCCTTCTCTCCCACCCCATCCCTGAATTACTTAGTTGGTTGCTGCCTGCTCATGTTCAAGGGTGATAGCTGCTGATGCCTTGTGATGTGAGTGGCAGAAGAGTGTATCTTGTTTCAGGTGAGGGTGGAGGGGAGAAGATGCAAAAAGGTTCTTTCTATGTACTGGTATCTGCCTCACCTTCCTACAGTACTGGCCTTCCTTCACTGCCGTATGACCTTGGGCTAGTCACTGTCCATCTCTAGGTCCCTGGGAGATTCTCAGGGGATGTGTGTGTGTGTGTATGTGTGTGTGTGTGTGTGTGTGTGTGTGTGTGTGTGTGTGTGTGTGTGTGTGTCGGGGAAGATCAGTAATCATCACAGCCTCTCCTTGCCCAATGTGGATGTGGGGAGAACTAATGAGATTGACTTTGTACAAGGGGATTAAAAGCACAAGGGATGAATTGGTGCTAGGGATACACAGTATGGACTTGTTGTTGTTGTTGTTGTTGTTCTTTGCGTATTCTGTGTGGTCTTTGTATAACTCAGGTAAATTTGGTCTTGCTTCATTTTAACAATACTGGGTCTATGATAGCCAGCTCTTGTGGGAAAGACAAATCACTAGAGCTAGGTGACAGAAATCTAGAAGTACCACCTCCTAAGTCAGTGTTAGTATTTGTCAAAAAGTCTCCAGTTTCACCCCTTGGACCTGACTGGGATCATTCCTAGGAGGCCAGGTCCCAGAGGGACTGAGGGGTCCAGGTTAATGTCATTTCCTTCCCTCCATGAAAAGGACTGCTTATCTGGACATGTCATCACAGCCAGGAGATATTCCCCCTTGTCATTGTCCTCTCTGAGTCAACATAATATAGTGAAAGCAAACCAGAGGACTTGGGTTCGAATTCTATCTGTGTGACATCCCACCACCCTGGACCTTGTTCTTCTCCTCTGTCATATAAGAGGATTGGACCCAAGTTTCCTTACAGCTTTAAATCCCATTATTATGTGCCTGTTGTATTTCTGGTCGCTCTAGTTTATCCCATTCCTTTATCAGCATCCCCCGATCACCATATAACCATTGGGGTAGTTGAAGTTATCCCCCTTTTTAGCCAATTTACATCCCTGGGATGCTTGGGGGAAATTGGAGGGAGCAGAGGAGGGAACTATGGCTAAAGTGAGTCATTCTGAGGCCAGACTACTCTCACCCTGGGTTTGGAGTCAGGAGGATTTGTCCTGCGAAGCTATTATACCCAAAGAGCTCTGGTTTTGGGCAGGGGTCCAGGATTCAGGGAGCTTCAGAGCCAGATCTAAACTCACAATGGGGAACCTTAGCACACTCTCCAATCACCCCACACCCACCTCATGACCCTCTCCCCAATCCCACCAGCCAGAAAATGATTCTGGGCAAGGAGGCCAATCCCTGGGAGGGAGACCACTAAGCCAGATAATGTACATTTATAAAGTGTAAGAAGAACTAGTCCCTAGCAGCTGGGGGTCTTGCCAGCTGGTTGAGAGGGGATATAGATGGGAAGGGCAGAAACTATGTCTCCCTTCTACAGAGTTGCTCAGAACCACATCTTCCCCCATGATGAGACTGGGGTGGCTGGGTGGGAGTGTCTGGCATATGAGGGTCTGATCTTGCCCTACCTTGGGGCAGCATTCTGTGTGTGTGGAGGAGAGGGAGAGATATGTTGGGAACAAGATAGGGGGCAGGAGGATAGAGTCAGAGGAATGGATAAGATCACCTCTCAGTATTCTTTTACCTTAAATTGGACCCTAACTTTTGCTTCTGTTCTTGCTAAGCCTGTCCTCTCTGTACTACAGTGATTTATGGGATGGGGGGTAGAGGCTGGAGGGGGCTGACAAGAGGGATCTACTGGATTTGGAATCAGGGGTCAAGAGTTTGAACCCTGATTATTATTTACTTGGCCTCTACCAAGTCACTTCCTTTCTTTGGACCTTAGTTTCTTCATCTGTAGAATCATGGGATTTGGACTAGGTGATTTCTGTGGTATCTTCCAGTTCTAAATTGATAATCATTACTATGAAGATCTCTGTGTACTTTTAGGGTAAGCTGTGTTGTGGGCAGTGGGACAGGCTAGCTTCCTTTCTTCCCACAGGCATCTGAGCCCCTAATTCTTTCCAAAGGAACAGTCAGGAGCAGATAGGTAAAGCCCAATATGAGGGCTGGCTGGATATTGGGGAAAAATAAGAGGGGAAGGGGCTGGAGGGGGGAACATTGAACAGGAGAAGGGAAGAGGCTAGGAGGACACAGAGGAGGGGGGGAGGTGCCAGAAGTACATTGGAGGAGACAGGAGGGACTGAAGGGGAGCAGTATTCTAAATCCCATCCAAATAACCTAGAAATGTAGCTGGAAAGTAGAAATAGTGGATAATCTCAGTCTTGGACCCTAGGCTAGGGGTGTGTAGGGAGAAACTTTGGGGTAGCTGTCGTGTGTAAACGTGCTGAAGTACTGGTGGGTTAAGCCTGAATCATCACGTCAGGCCCAGGCTAGGCTTTCCATCACCCCTGTGCCCATGCCAGTCCCCATGAACAAGGGCCTCTGTCTCCTCAGCTGCTTCTTCCTCCCAGCTGAGCCAGACTCTGCAGACTGTCTGGTGTGGACGTGGGCTTCAACAGCTCTGCTTCCCCTCAGGGTCATAGCTTCCAGTCAGCTCAGCCCAGTCAGGCCTTGATTCCTTCCAAACTTTGCCATCTTCCAAGAAGGCTGTCTGTATTCATCCCACAGGAATCAGCCCCTCTTCTTCTGCACTGATGTGAGAGAGGCTGATCCATTCCTGTTATTTTGCACGGATAATGCTTCCTATTAGTTCCAGGCTGGGAGTTCTCCAAAGGGCAGGGGTCCTTGGTCTCTTCCATCATTCTTTTAAATTCCTTCAGGCAGGAAGGACTGTATTTCCTTTCTGGGCCTCTTCCTTCAGTACCTCCACTACGGGACTCTGTGCTTGCGTCCATTCTATCAATAACCATGTAATTGGGGGAAGAGGAAGTAGGCACTTTTAAGAACAAATTACCCTCTCAAAAACTGAATTCCCTCAGTAACCCTCCACCTAACCAGTGCTCAGCTAGCCCTGGGGCTAGAGCTTCAGGGTCTCCCGTCTGTAGCCACTAGGCGGCGCTCCTTCACCATGGCCAGCTTCATTAGCCAGGTGAACTTGGGAAAAAATGGGTAGTCTGCTTCTCCTTCCACTCTTCTCCGACCCCCACTCACATCTCTCTTTACTGGGGGTAGGGGGAAGTGGGGTGCATAGGAAGAAGGTCAGGGGTCATTTCAAGGTTCCCGCTGTTTATGGCCATCGCTCTACTTTGCAGATTTCCGGGGGGGGGGGCGGAGAAGAGGTCTTATTGCCCCTGTCCCTGCATAACCCTAAATATCTCCCCTCCCTCTTCCTTTTCCCTCTCCCCCAACTCTGCCGGGGGGGGGGAGTAGAGGAGGAGGAGAAGGAGGGAGAGAGAGGGGGAGAGAGAGAGAGAGACAGAGAGAGAGACAGAGAGAAGGAGAGAGAGAGAGAGAGAGAGAGAGAGAGAGAGAGAGAGAGAGAGAGAGAGAGAGAGAGAGAGAGAGAAACTGTATTTCTTGGGGACTAAGGTAATTCTCAGCTTTGATTATTAGGGGTGGGGAGAAGTACCCTCTTTAACTTGCAACAGGTTTCTTTGGGGAGGGGAGAGGGTGGGAAAGGTCGGAACCCTAATTTTCATGCCTCCCCACCTGTAGGGAAGTCCCCTATTGAAAGAAGGGTTTCTCTATACATAGATTTCTATATCGCTAAGGCTGATATAGAAGGGGTGAGGGAGACCCCCAACCCCTTGGCAATAGCAGGAAAGGCACAGAGGAATGGATTGATAGGGGACTGGGGAGGAGGGGTTACTAGACATAGAGGAATAAGCGAAATGGCTTTTTTTTTAAATTCCACTTTAGCTTGGGGGTTGGGGAAGGGATGGTTGGAGAGGAGGCGGAGAAGGTATTGGGGGGGAGGGCAAGGGCGGAGCTAATTTTTTTTTAAGCCTTTGAGGGGCGCGGAGCGGGGGTTGGTAAGGAGGCGGTCCTGAAGGCCCAGTTAAATTGACCGAGAGGCGGAGAAACTGGACCGAGCAGAGCCGGGTAGAGACAGCGAAGAGAAAGAGAAGGACGAACGACATATTCCCCCGTCTGCACATTGCTCTTGACTGTTGGGGTTGCTCTCGTTTGCTTCTCAAATTTTTTTCACCGTCTTCTCTTTTTTAAATTTATTTTTCGATTGATTCCCTCCTTCCTCACTACAATCGGGAAGACTTTTTTTTTCTGGGGGGATTCCCCCCTTCATTCTCCCTCAAATCTCTCTGGATTTTGGAAACCAGCAGAGGACAGAAAGAGCGAAGAGTGAGAGGGAAAGAGAGGAAAGTAAGTGACCTCGGGTTTTTTTAGGGAACGGACTGCGGAAAGAGGACTGAGCCCTCCCCCCCCCAGCTCTGAGACCCGGGAACCCAACGGCTCCGGGGCTGACACTTCCCCCGCACCACCGCCAGCCACCCCGCCAAGCACCGACAAGAGGGGGGACCCTCCTCGCACGCACACTTTCCTTTCTCCCCGGCTTCTGACGGCGGCGGGCTCGGCTGCAAGCGAGCCGGAGCAGAACCCGGGTCAGCGGCTAGGGGCGGGGTGGAGGGGGCAGGGGTACGAGACTATGCACTGAAACTTTTTGTCCAACTTTTGGGCTGTTCTCGCTCCGGAGGAGCCGTGGTCCGCGCCGGGAGCGCCGAGCCGTACCAAGCGGAGAGCAGTGTTCGCTCGGGCCCGGATCAGCAGCAGCGGCGGCGGCAGCTGCGGCGGCGACAAGAGGAGGAAGAAGAAAAAGAAGAAAACGAAGAGGTGCGGGGGCCGCGGGAGCGGCAGAGGCTCGGCTCTAGAGAGCCGGGCTCATGGACGGGTGAAGCCTTAGAGAGCACCGTGAGCGCCCAGCCCGCTAGCGCGCCCCAGGCCCTGGCCCGGGCCTTGGCCCCGGGGGAAAAAGGAGACAGCGAAGAAGGCGCCGGGGGGACAAGGCCACCGACGCCGCCACTGCCGAGGAGCGAGAGAGGAAGGAGAGGGAGTGAGAGTCTTACCGGCCCCGACCGGGCCTCCGAAACCATGAACTTTATGCTCACTTGGGTACATTGGTGCTTAGCCCTGCTGCTCTATCTCCATCATGCTAAGGTAAGCGAGTTGGTGCTGGCAAGGGGTGCTTGGTGCTGGTGGTGGCGGCGGCGGCGGCGGCGGCCAGTGTCCGGCAAGCTGGTGGGGGTGGGGGTGGGGGTGGGGGTGGACGCACAGTGCCTGGCGGTGAAGCGTGGAAGGAAGCTGGGGGAACTGGGGGTAGCGGGTTCCTTTTCCTAACCTTAGGAGTGGAGATGGTGAGATCTGTGCCCCATTCCTATTGATGGGCACCGGGCATTAGGGAGTAACTCCCCCCCCCAATGTAGAGTGGGCTGGGGCGGGAGCGAGCGCTAGGTGGGAGAGCATCTGGTTGGGGGTCTCGCCGCCCACGCGGGCCCTGCCCACCCACCGGAGCCACACGCACGTAGGATCCCGGCCGAAGGGAAGGGAGGAGGAGGGAATCGGAGGGGCTGGGCTAGCACTTCGGCGACTCAAGTTTGCTCCTTGTCGCCGGGTCCCCCAGCAAATAGATAGGGCCAAGGGGGCGCTGGGAGCCATGCCCCCTGGTGGGGGGAGAGATGGGGAGGTGGTCACGGATCTTAGACTGGGGAGGGAAGCGGTCTGAGAGCATGCTAAAGAGAGAGCTCCAGAATCTGAGGTCATGTCACTTTCTCTTCCAACCTCTCCCTTCAACCCAAATGAGTTTGGAGAAAAGTTTGTGGGTGGGTGAGCTCTGGTACCCCCAGGAGTGCAGCTTATAAAGCCTCCATTCCCCCCCGCCTCTCTCAGGTCTCCTTCCCAGTCCCCTCCCTCCCCCTCCTCGGCGCCGGGGGCGCGCTGCGCGAAGCCGATTACATCAGCCCGGGGACTGGCCGGGCCGCGTGTTCCCCTAGAGCTGCCTGGGCCGGAGCTCGGGGTCCTTGGATTGGGAGAGACCTTCTCACAGTTCCCCTGAAAACACACGGACACACATCCCTTACCCGATCTACCCCCGGGGAAGGTGACCCCAGCTAGCCACAGCCTGGAGTAGCGGGTAGCACCCCTTCCCCCTACCAGCTCCCCTCCCCGACTCCTTTTTAGTCCCAGAGAAATTCGAGTACACCCCTTTTACCAACTTCCTAGCCCTGAGAGGGCCCCCCCACCCCTTCCCCTTTTTTAAGCCACGAAAGTCTCCAGCTGCTTTCTGATCCCATCACCCCCCCATCTTGTATTGTTTTTGATCGAGGAGGGAGCACAGTCCCCCCAAATATCCTCTTTATACCTCAGTAAGACCCCCCCATTTTCCTCCCCCTCCCCCCTTCTTTCCTTCCCGCCCGCGGGGCCTGGGAAAGGGACGGTCACTGCCAGTGGACCCGGCCTGGGAGAGCCCGCCCAGGGCGGTGCTTGGTCTCGACTCCGCCCTTGTAGTGACCTGGTGACAGCCCGCCTCCTGTCCCCCTTCCCCCCGCGGCCCAGTGTGTAGCCAGACTAAGGCTTTCAGATCAGGGGGTTGCAGGGGGACACTGAAGGGAGGTTTATATGCTGAGCTTTGGATCTCCCAGCTGAACTCTGTCTTCCCTACACCTCCCACTTTGTTGAAAATGTTTCCAAAATGCTGTGACATTTGAGTTTTAGGGATAGCTGGGTAGAGAGAGTGGGGTTCTTTTGCTTCTTCGGCGTACATGCCCTTGCTTCTCCCTCTTAGGGGATGGGGCTAGGATGGTAATAATCGGGGATCCGGGCTGCTTCCCACTATTCCCTATTCCTCCTCCTTCCTTATAGCCTCCATATGGTGATTGGGGTAAAGAAACTGGAGGGAATGAAGACCAGGCTGGAACCCCTCCCCTCCCCCAGGCGCTGTGAAATATGCTCCCTGCTACCCTAACACGCAGAAAGGGGTGTCATTCTCTGGGTTTGAAAGCTAGACCCAGACTATCCTGGAGGTCATTGCTATGAAGTTTGGGCAGGTGCTCTTGCCAGTCCTAGGGACAGTTACTTAGACATTTTGCTTGGGTACTGGGTACTGCTAGAACTTAATTGTTGTCCAGCTGCCCTGTCCTCAAAATCACATTCCCTACCTTCCCAGGAACTAGCAACAAAGACCACTTCTCCCTTCCACCCCCCAGGAAGTTGAGTGGAATTCACTTCTATTCCTATGAATTCTTAAGATCTGGCTCGGTCACCCCTCCCCCACCCCAAGCTGTAGGCCTCTGGACTAGGACTAGGGAAGGGTTGTCTAGCTATAGTTATGACCTTCATAGGCCCCCAGAGAAGGGCACCAGCTGCCCAGCCCCTCCCCCACTGGGCACCGCCCCCTCTTTGTGGCTATGGTGATGGTGGTGATGATGGTGGTAGGGAAGTCTCCCTCTGCCCCCTGGCCTTGGGGACTTGGGAGGTGGGGACAAGGTTGCTGGGGTTCTCAGCCTCTTAATAGAGGACTGAGAGGATTGGAGTATTAGGGAGCTATGAAAGCTAATGGGCAAAGGGGAAAAAGAGAGTATCATGAGAGCTAGGTCATGGGGGGACATAGGGTGGAGAAGACTGCCTGGTGCCAGGGAAATCATAGGATTTAGAGCCAGAAAGGATCTTGGGTATATCTAGTTCAAACCCCTTTGTCCGTTGAGGAGACCAAATCATGGAAATGGGGAAACCTTCATAAAGTTGGGGGTGTGTGTCTGGGGCTTTGTGATCCTTCCTAGAGAAGAGCTGTATCTGCTTTTGGCATGGTAGAATTGAGGGGGGTTATGACACCTTAGCCGTGTGTGTGTGTGTGTGTGTGTGTGTGTGTGTGTGTGTGTGTGTGTGTGTGTGTTTTATACTGGAGGGAAACCTGGTGAACAGAGAGGACTGGGGTGTAGAACTGTCTGGGCTGGAGGAAACCCCACCTGCTGATCAGCTGGCCCCAAAGGGTCTCAAGGTCCTTGAGGGGAGATAATAAGGAGAAGCCTGGCACCCCTTCCCTGATCTCCTGATATGGGGGTTGGGCCTGAAAGGGGGCATCCATTTTGTCAGTGTCCTGGCTCTTGTCTGTTGACCTTCACAGTCAGTGGGGAGGGGCTGACTGCCAGGAGTTGGGGGTGGGGGAGACTCAGTGTCCAGAGTGTTCTGGAAGATAAGCAGCCTTCTTGGGGCTGGTTCATATCAGGGTACAATAGGATCTGGGGGGATCTGGAGAGGGGAGTAACAGGTCTACATAAATGGTAGAATCTGGGAACCCCCAATTCCATGGGAGACAAGAGACCAGGAAATAGGGAAAGGGTTTGGGAGAGAACTTGGAAATAAAGACTGATTTGAACTTAGGGGGTGGAATGGGAAATGATGACTTGGAAGGTGTGGGCCCTGTAGCTGTATTACTAAGCTTTCCTCTTGAGTTTAGTATGGGTTTTCCCCCTCTTTTCTTCAGACTAAGCAGCCCCTTCCCATTTTCCCCAGAGGGTCAGATTGAGCATTTTGGGGGTGGGGGAGAGAAGAGATGGGTCTTGATTGTCGAGGGTGTCTCAGCCGTCTTCCATTTCCCCTTCCCCCTGCCTGACACCACCTTACCCCTGGCATTTGTCATGTCAACTAGATAAGGTCACCCGTGCTGTTTTTCTTGCTGGATCCTTTCCTTCCTGCCCAGACTCGATCATGTTCTTTTTGCCTCTTTAATTCTAGTCAGTGCCTTTGTACTAGTGTGTATATATTGAGGAGGGGTAGGTTGGAGAATTGATTAGGTGAAGTGAGTAGAATTTTTTGAGGGTGATAGGTAGGAGTGAGGAAGGAGTGCAATAGGAGAACTGAGGGGGGGGGGGCTGGAGAAAGACCTGGAGACTCTGGACAGAATCCCTTCCCTCCCTGCCTACCTAGATAGTTAGCTTCTCCTAGTTTTATCTCTGGGGGGCTCCATGATTCTTTTCTCTGATGCTATGCTGTGGCTGGGAGAGGTCCATTGCAACACACCTTTCCCCATTGCAGGACCTCAAATATGTTCATGAGGGTAAGGGTTATGACCAATGCAGTTGAGACACTGGATTCTATAACTCTGTGTTGTATAGGGACATCAAGGGAGGGGCTAAAGGAAGGCAGGGTGGGGGGTCTGGCTCTGGCTTAGCCTGTGTAAAACCCTGCATCATGAACCCCTCTTCTGTTACCCCATGCCCCTGTCTCACTCTCTGCTTTGTTTGCAGTGGTCACAGGCAGCACCCACCCCAGAAGAAGGAGAACGGAAAGCTACCGAGGGTGAGTCTGCTTATACCATGTCTCTGATTCCTTCCACATCTGGGGTGGGCACTAGATGGGGAAGGGGCAGAGGAGGGAACCTTGACTCCTTCAGCTCCTGCCTCTTACTCTGTGGTCCAGGTCCCTCCTGGGGATGAAGCAGAGGGAAAGAGAGTAGGATTGGTGGGGGGCACCATGACATTTGTTTAAGCTCCTAATTTTCTATGAGGTCCAACTTATTTCTTGACTGGGCAAAACCTTCCCAGGCAGAGGTAGGAAATGGACCTTTTATCCTTCTTTTACCCTCTAGAAATTTGAATTTTTAGAGAGGACAGTGGCTAGTCAGGGGTCCCAGGCTGAGAGTGATTTATCCAGTCCCAGAGTCCACCATGCGGGGAGAGGGTTGGGAGTTCTTTTTTTTTCTCTCCCTTACACCCCCCCCCCAAAAAAAAGGAGTAGGGATGTTATTAGGATAAATTTCCTTTTAGTGCCAGCAGAGGGCTGTAGCTATGAAGCTGACTCACCACCCCCTTTCACCTCCCAAACCCTGCCTGTCTTTTGTCTGATAGGGGCCCCATTCCCTGGGTTCTCCCTGACTCTTCCTACAACCCTTGAACCCCTACTCTGCTCTCCTTTGGTATTTTAATGGCAGACATCCTCTTCACTTTCACCCATCACTGCATCTCTGTGTCAAGACACAGGGTATGGTTAGGATTGTGCTTTTCTAGAGGGCCATATCAGTCTGTTCTCCCACTCTCCTTGGGAATGGAATCCCTGATTAGCTGCACTTGCTCCCATTATCCTGTCCCTTGCCCTCTCCATGAGCTGGAGAATAATTCTCTCACCTCTGTCCCACTCACAACCATATTGGATTCCCTTAGGGATTCACTCTTCTCCCCCTCCTTCAACCCCCCCCCACTGCTCCCCCAGCTTTTCCCAGTGGTGTTTGTGGCTTGGGAGAAGCAAGACAAATGGTCTTTGTTTGCTGGAGAAAAGGTTGTCTGCGATAAATAAGGAAAACCCAGGACATTTGAGGCTGGTGAGCAGCATGTGTGCTTGTATGAGTGTGGATATATTCGAGTTTGAGTGTGAAGGAGGTTTTTATTTGGAGACAGTGGCAGGAGGGGGTTAGAATGGGTATAAGGGGAGTTTTCTGACCAGTTCTAGGATGACAAGCTTCTTCCTTCTCTGCCTTGGAGAGCCTAGAATTCCTTTTCCCTTGGGTAGGGTCCCCACTTGTAATGGTCTATGACATCCCCAGCTTGTAGGCCAACCCTTTTTTGTACCACTCCCTGGCTTTTGGAGAGGGGCATTGTGGGGGGTCCATCAAACCCAACAGAGATCTGGCTACCTCTTTCCTCTTCCCACCCCCCAAACCAATTAGAACAAGGGTCAGAAACTTCCAAGATCAATTATCTTTCTCAGTGCTTGATTTTAAAAAATTATGTCCTTTAAGAACATTTATTTTCCTAGACATCCATCAGAGATGCAGAGAACATTCCTGCACAGAGAGGGCTGATAACTAGCCTGTGGCTTGTTAGGATCTGGTGCTTGGGTAAGAACCCAGGTCTTCCTGAGTTCCAGCTAATTGTTCCCATCCACTCTCCCTGCCAACCCTTTTCAGTCCTTTATCCAGTATAAACTTGGCAGGATGAAATAGAGGAAGGGTCTACCATCTCCTCCTGGCCCCAGCTATATTTTAAATAGGTATGTATATATTATGAGGCAATTTAGCATAGCATATGGAAAACAGAGGGGACTTGAGTCAGTAAGTGCTGAGTTCATGTACTGCCTATGCCACATACTGGCTCTGTGACCTTCCTCAAGTTACTTAAACTCAGCTCCTCAAGCAGCTCTTAGGAGTAAAAGTGGGGGCAGCTAGGTGAAAAAGTGGATAGAGCACTGGCCCTGGACTCAGGAGGGCCTGAGGTACTCACTCACTCATACATGGGGGCAGTTGGAAAGCCAGATCTAGAATCCAGGCCTCCTGATTCCCAGTCTTGGGTTCTGTACATTGCACCATGATTGGCAGGGCAGGTAGAGGACCATACCCCAGAGGTCCTGGGGTAAGAGACTGGAACTGTGTGGAGTTGACTAGTTGGATCATAGATTTCAAGCTAGAAAGGACTTCAGGGGACATCTAGTCCCCCTCATTTCACATATTGAGTCTGAGGGCCCAGAGAAGTTAAGTGAATTCCAGAGCTTAGCTCAGTGTCTGGCACAGAGTAGATGCTTAATAAATACTGATTGAGTGATTGATTAAAAAAAATTTTTTTTAGATTGATTATTGATTGAATTGCCCAAGGTCATAATAAGAAGCCCAGCTGAGATTTGAACCTGGGGCCCTGAATCCAGCCCTTCTGTCACTAGATCATGCTGCCACTTGTATTGAATTGTCCCTCCCTGGGTTCTGTTTATACTTTTTCCCCGAGTGTGCTTTGCTGCCTCTGAGTGCCTTGTCCCCTTAACCCCAAGTTACCCTTTCATGCTTTTACTGAACCCCAGGCTCTCTGCCCTGTTACCTAGCCCAGGGAAACTTTGTTGCCCCTTGTCACCTGTACAGTTCCTCCAGAAATGCTTAGCAGTGGGAGCAGCAGCACAACTTCTTTTTTTTCCATGATGTAAGCAGTTTGCGCCTATCAGGCAGGGTTATTGGTCTCTCACCTGGCACGCTTTGCTGTTCTCTGTGGCTGCTGACACTTAGGGCTGCCTAGCTGAGGCCTCCCTGTTTTTTTCCTTCTTTTCTCCTTCTCTCCAGGAAGGTGGGTCTCCCAGGCACATGCTTGGGGTGTGGAAGGCCAGCTTCTTGTCCTCTGGCCCTGCTCCCCAGAGCCCTCCCTACCCTCTGGCATAACTTCTCCCCTTGTGTTGGGAAAGTCCTGGGAAACCCTAGAGGTCCACAACGAGGGTGAGAGTGGAAGGCCTAGGCATGTGAAGATTGGCTTTTCCTTTACATGAAACAGCCCTCTCTCCCTATTTCATCTCGACACCCTCCCCACCGTTCTCTCCTCTGCTAGGGACCCAGACTAGGGAAGGGAAGCAGCTGTACAGGGTCAGAGTGAACCTGAGTTTTGTAAGGATTAACTCTTAACAGAGAGAGAGACTTTGCCCCCCAGGAGGAAGGGAGGGGTGGGGGCAGTACTGAAATATGTGTGACATCTAAGACTTTCCCTCAGAGAAGATCATTGTCCCTCCTCTCTCCCTTCACCTGTGCTCCTTCATCTACATCTCACTCCCAGACTTTCTTCTCCAGCTTTCTCCAGTCTATTGGGTGTGGCAGAAGGTGTCCCAGGGAACTAACACCTTGCTGGGGTTGGCCAGAAGGATGAAGGGTAGACTCCAGGCCAGAGTTCTGAAGGGAGTTAGGATTGGGGGGGTTGGGGAGGGTACTTAAGAAATGGACTTCAGTGCTGGGAAATTCTGTGGAGATCCTTGAGGCTATTTTAACAGATGAGAAAACTGAGGTTTTGAGAGGTAACATGACTGAGGATCATGGAACTTAAGGGATTTCTCAGGAATTCTGAACTTTTTTGTCATGGACTCCTTAGGCAGTCTGGTGATGCCTATAGACTTCTTAGGATTTTTTTATTTTGCTTTTTTGGTGAGGTGATCAGGGTTAAGTGACTTGCCCAGGGTCATACAGCTAGTAAGTGTTAAGTGTCTGAGGCTGGATTTGAACTCAGGTCATCCTGACTCCAAGGCCAGAGCTCTATTCACTGCGCCACCTAGCTGCCCCTTTAGGATGTTTTTAAATGCATTAAATAAAATGCATAGGATTACAAAGGAAATCAATTATATTAAACTACATTCATAAGAATAAATTAAAAAGAACCCAAACAATCACCAAGTTCATGGATTCTTAGTGGCCCAGTGGATAGAGCATTAGGCCTTCAGTCAGGAAGACCTGAGTTCACATTTGGCCTCAGATACTTATTAGCTGTGTGACCCTGGGCAAGTCACTTAACCTGTTTGCTTCATTTTCCTCATCTGTAAAAATGGGGATAATAGTACCTACCTTGCAGGGTTGTTATGAGGATGAAATGAGATATTAGTAAAGTGCCTGGCACATAGTAGGCATTATATAAGTGTTATTATTATTATTACTTCTGTTCTAGCCCTGCTTCTTCATTTTACCAATGAGGAAACTAATGCCTAGAGAGAGGAAGAGTCTTGCCCAATGTCACATAGCTAATATTTGTGGCAGAGGCAGGATTTGAAAACAAGTCTTTTGACTTCAGATTCAGTACTTTTTCCATAGGGCAGCTAGGTGTGCAGTGGATAGCTGGGCCTGGAGCCAGGAAGACTCTTCTTCCTGAGTTCAAATCTGGCCTCAGGTGCTTACTAGCTGTGTGACCCTGGACAAGTCACTTCAACTTGTTTATCTCAGTTTCTTCATCTGTAAAATGCGATGAAGAAGGAAATGGCAAATCACTCCAGTATCTTTGCCAAGAGAACCCCAAATGGGGTCATGAAGAATCTACCATGACTGAAAATGACTGAACAACAACAACTATATATATATACATATGTATATATGCATGTGTGTGTGTATGTATATATGCATATATCTGTATGGAGAAAGAAAGAGAGACAGAGAGAGAGATTTCATAACTTTGGAGAGAGCAATTGGAGAACAAGAGAACCCCAAGTGGGATCACGAGGAGTTGGACACAACTGAAAGACGACTGAATCAACAACACTTCTTCCCTCCTCTCCCTTCCTTATTGAAGGTCATGAAGCACTGGGGCCAGACCGTCTCACGAAGGACTAATGGCTGATCAGAAGACATAGTTAGACGGTTCTCTGGGCTCTTTCAGTTTACCCCTTCATTCAAACTCATGAGTCTCCTCTTCTCTTTTAGTGGTGAAGTTTATGGACGTCTACCAACGCAGCTATTGCCGGGCCATCGAGACCCTGGTGGACATCTTCCAAGAATACCCCGATGAGGTGGAGTTCATCTTCAAGCCCTCTTGTGTCCCTCTGATGAGATGTGCCGGCTGTTGCAATGATGAGGGGCTGGAGTGTGTCCCCTACGAGGTGCACAACATCACCATGCAGGTGAGGAAAGCTGCCTTTGGTGGTTACCTTCAGGAGAGAAGCTTTCTCTCCAGAGTAAATTACTTCAGACATTTATTTTAAATTTAACTTATTTTTAAATTTTTAAGTCTTTATTACAGTTTAAACATTTTTTAAGGGAGATTTTTTGGCAGCAAGAAGGTTTGAGATTTGAGATCTCTTTCTCAGGAGAGCAGGAAACACAATTGTCCTTGTGTCCTGTTTTCCTGAGGTGCAGCTGGTTGAATGGGGGGAATCCTGCTTGGAGGTAGGGGCATGGACAAGATGACCCATCTGGGACCCAGGCAGGCTGGAAAGAGAATGCTCCTCTTTAGAGGAACAGAAGCCTTCCTTTAGGGACATCCCTCTACCTGTTTTCCTGTCATAGTTGAAGCCCTGGCCCTGACCCTTGACCCAGTTCTACCTCTTTCCCTGTCCTGGCCCCTTGCTCCTCGTTTCCGGAGGCATTCAGGGGCAGGAGGCACAAGTGTCTGTCCCTTTTCTCCCCACCCCCTTCTTCCCAGAGGCATTTCCCTGCTGTCCTTGGGACTATGTAGCAGTTGTGGGACAGTTCTGGCTGGCTAGGAGTAGGAGGCTCATCAGGAATGTGGGTTTTGGGGAGTATAAAAAGCTAGTTCTATCATACAATCTCTTCCCTAGAAAACCCTTACTTCTTCCCAGAACTCCCTCTTTTCTTTATCGTCATGGTACAAAACCCCAGTCCAAGTCCTTGGCCTTGGCCCTGTCCCTTCCCTCCTCTCCTTCCCCTTCCTGTTTTGACTCCTCCTTTCAGCCCTGAAGGTCTTACCCTTGGTACTGCCTCCCAGTTCTGCTTCTAGTCCTAGGGGAGCTAGCAGCACTGCCCTCTGAGGCACAGGCTTCAAGAGACCAGGCATTTAATCCATTGGTTCTCAGGTCCTTGAAAACACTGAACTCTGGTCTCCCTATTCCTCCCTGCTATCCCCATTTCTTTTCCTGATAACCTAGAAATGTGTGTCTGGTAAGGAATTTGTTCTTCCTTAGGCCAGTGGTTTTGGGGGAAATGAAGTTATTCCCTCAAATGGGGCATGAGCAGGGTGAAAAGAAAAACCAGATTTTAAAAATTTTGTGGGTACCAGGAGTTGGGTTGTGGACATGGTATCGGGGTGAGGGGGGAGGGCCTAAGGGAGGGGCTGGAAATGGTACCAACCCAGGACCCAAAATTCCCAGCTCGGCCAACCTGAAGCAGCCACATCAGCTCCCTGAGGTTATTGGGGTTGGGAGGTAGGGGAAGAGGGGTTGGGGCTCTGTGGCTTTGTCCTGTTGACAGCCATTAAATCCCCTCCTCCCCCCTTTATCTCCTTGACTCCCTGGGGACTTATCCCTGGAGACCCCGGGGTGCTGAGTGGCAAGAGACAGGGGGGTGTCGGGCGAGTGGCTGGCTGGGTCACTAACTACTGTGTTTTCCTCCTACCCTCCCAGATCATGAGGATTAAGCCTCACCAGGGCCAGCACATTGGGGAGATGAGCTTCTTACAGCACAGTAAATGTGAATGCAGGTAAGGGGAGATTCATGGATAAAGGAGCTTTTGGGGAAGAGAAGGGAAACCTCAGGACTGGGAGGAGGTCAGAGAGAGAAAGAGAGAAAAGGGATGCCAGAGGGAAATGCTTTCAGTAGGTAGACACTAGGTAGAGAAGGCTGAGGAAGTGCTAGAAGTCAGAGACACAGAAGGTGGAGAAGATGGAGACATGGTCCTTAGAGGAGGCCTTTTCCTTTAAGGGCCTCTCAGTGGGACTGGGGATGCAGCATGTTAGAGGTGGAGGAAATGAATGGAAGGGCATATATTTATGTACGTGCCTGTTTGCCTTCTGCAGTAGAATGTCAGTTCCTTGAGGTCAGGGGCTGTTTTTCTTTGTCTTCCCAGTGCCCAAGCTGATGGAGAGGTTGAATAGAAGGCACGAACGTGGAAGGGGAGGATGGGTTGAGTAAGGATGGGAAGAGGGAAAGGAGTACAGGTTCTTGGGTTCTACCCTGGTATTGAGGGGGGAGGGAGAATGTTCCAGCTGGGAGGAAGCCAGTTCTCTTACCTTCCCCCTCTGTTCTTGTCATTTTCTCATTTTTAGACCAAAGAAAGATGTCAAAGGAAAACAAGAGAAGTAAGTGGATGTAATTTTTGATGATTTTTTTTTCCCTTCTTGGCCGGTTGTATTGCTGGGTTTTTTCTTTTTTTTTTTTTGGCTCTTTGTCCCTTCAATTGGTCTGTTATTCAGGGTCATTATTCAGGGTTACTCAGACCCCACTAAGTCCAGGCCTAAGTGTGGAGAGCTGATCAGTGGGCCCTGGAAGGTTTGGAGGTGGAGTGAAAGGTGCCCTCTTTCTTGTATGGTCTGGTTGGTTCTCTTTCTGCCTTGCCAGGTAGAGAACCCACCGGGTTCCTTCCAGGATTAATTAGGTTCTGAAATTTGGCTACAGGGTTACTGGGAAATCCTGGCCCAAAACATTTACCTGCTGGGAAGAGCTGTTAGCTCCTGGGCCTGAGCTCCATCTTCTGTATGGCCTCGCTTGATGTTGGTGTAGTGTCCTGATACCCTGTATGCTCGATAGTCTGACCCTCAGGTGGGTTGTCAACCCCTAGAACACTGGATACCCTGCCACAGGGTAGGGGTGCAGGCAGGGGATTGGAGCTGTCAGGGAAACAGGTGGCAGTGGGGGTGTGTGGTATATTTCCATTTACTCTCTTGTGACTCAGTTTTGGAGGCTGTACTTGGAGGGGAAACAGGTTCCCCTGCGGTTTCTACCTTTCTAATGCCCTTGGATGATTTTGGGGTCAAAGCAAGAATGTGACGCTCTTCTGGATTAGAAGGTAGATTTGCTAGCTTGGTTTAATAGATGTCGGTATTTGACCTGATTAGGTTCCTCAGTTTTCACGGGCTCTGTAATCTGGGAACGGAGTGTTGTTAAGGGTGGAGGGCTGACTCTAAAGGCACAGTAGTATTAGACAGAAATTGATGAATGTAAGGGGTTGGTCAGTAGGCCACTGAATGGCAGCTAAACCCCTCAAGTCTGAGTCAGGCTGCTGAGAGCCTAAAGAAGATGGAGATGGAGGCTGAGAGAGGACATATCTTCTCCCTTTTCTTTGTGCCTACCCTTACCCATTGCCCTAGGGGCAGTTGGTCTTACAGATGGACAAGACTCAATCTCTTTTTCTCTCCCTTCCAAGGCCATCACATTCTCTTAGTGCACTTTAAGTGGTGATGGGGCAGAGAGGCTAGTATGTTGGAAGTGCTCTGTGGAGAGACCGTGTGGGTGAATAAGCCTGGTTTCCTAGGACTCCCCCTTCCCTCCTCCCCACCTCTACTGCTTATTATTACTCCTTGTGCATTCTCCCCAGGAGAATAATGGAGGCCCCCCCTTCCCTCTCCTCTTCCTTTTCCCTTCTTTTTGGCAAAATTCCCTGGGGTATATCCACCTCCTTCAACTGTGGGACAGTTAGAGAATGATGGTTTCAGGCCACAGCCCACCACTTCTCCCCCTTCCTCATTCCCTATGAGTTCCAGCCCCGTATCCCTCCCCCCACCTCACCCCGTTCCCAGGATATCAGCCTTGCCTGCAGCTAGAGAGGGGTAGCTTGGAAGAAAATTTTGTGAGAAGGCAGACAGGCTCTGACAGGGCCTGGAGAGGATACTCTGCCAAGTTACGCCCCAGCCTCTCCCCTCCCATACCCCCTCCACTCCCCCCCTCCCACTCCCATCCACAAACCCTCTTTCCCAAAGGCTCTGGGGGATGGCCTCTTCCTGGGAGTGGACAGTTTGCCACTGCCCAGTATGGCCCTCCATTCCATGTAATGGGTGCCCACATGGTGCCTGTGTTCAGTTCGTTCTTCCTCAGGCACATGTACCATAAACCATGCTTCCTTTCCAGTCAATGCCTTGGGCTCTTCGACCCATCCGCCTTTATGGTGATTCCTAATGTTGCTGAGTGGAAAGCCAGGAGTGTGAGTCAGGGCTGTTGGCCCAGCCCCCTCACAGTTCATATACTGTTCTACATGGAAGTGGGGTTGGAGGGCATCCTTCCTCCTGGCCCCCCCCAAACTCTGTGCTGCTAGACGCTTTCCCCCTGGTTTGCCTTGCTTCCTTAAGGGCATTTCTACCACAGCCTGGAATTCTGGAGCCTTTGCCCAGCACTTGCCCCTGCCCCCTCCCCACCTCCATGTTGCTGGGGCTGAAGGAAGCACCCTGATTTGGTAGAGGTGTGGTGTTTCCCCACCACTCCTCCCAGGATGCCTATCTCCAGAGGTCTGGAGTACCCTGAATAGTAACAATAATTACCCACTTTCAAGGCTTACAGTGTGTTTTCCTCCTAACAACCTTGTGAGAGAGAGGTAGTACAAGTATTACTATCCCCATTATAAAGATGAGGAAACTGAGTCTTGGTGAAGTGGCTAATGGGACTTGAATCTTCTGATTCTCAGTTCAGTGTGTTTTCTACTAGACTATGTTACTCTGTGCCTCATGAGCCATGACTGGGACCGTGGTGGTAGTAATAATTATAATGATGTTATTATGTAATTACTTTATATTTATTATACTATGTATTAATATTTAAACAGAAACATATACACCATTTATTATAATTATAACATTTTATGGTATCATAATGATAAATATAATAACAAACCTCTGTCTGTCTCAGTTTCCTTCTCTGGAAAATGGGGATAATAATAGCACCTCCCAGGTTGTTGTGAAGATCAAATGAGATAATATTTGTAAAGCGCTTTGCAAACCTTAAAGAGCTATGTAAATGTTGGCTATTTTGTTATTATTATTATTATTAACAATAACAACAATAGTAATAAAAATTCCTATCTACGAGGCAGAGGCTCATAGAGGCCCAGGAGATAGGTAGTTCAGGTATTACTATAATGCCGTTTCATACATGAAGAAACTGAGATACAGAGGGTTAAGTGACTTGTCCAAGGATTACAGAGTTAGTAAGTAGCAGAACTAGGATTTGAACCCAGGGCTAACCATTAAGGTCAATGCCATTTCTACTCCCATCACATATAGATAGTGGTGGGGTAAATTGCCAAAATACAGTAATGCCCTAGGAACAAATATGGTGCCTGTGCCTTCTACCCGCAGCCCCACTGTCCTTGGACCTTATGCCCTTGGGAGAGGTGGCAGCATGAATGGAGAGAGCTGTGAGGGTGGTGGGAAACTTATCACCTCTCTCCATCTCCTCAAATTCAGCAAAATGATGAGAAAGGACTTTATTGATGGTAGACACACATGTGTGGCTAAACTGCAGAGCCCTCTCCCCCCAAAACCACCCTCCCTTTAGCCCTCTTTCTTCTCTTGTTCTCCCCTAGTCTAGGGAGAGAAGCCACTGAGATTCTGGGCTTGGGAGGGGATGTGTATTTCCCCTCACCCCAACCCTTTCTGCTTCCTTCCCTCTCCTCCTGCCCCTCCTTGGCCCCCACCTGTTCTCTGTCTGTCTCTGTCTCTGTTTTTTTATTTTCCAGAAAATCAAATCGAGGCAAGGGGAAGGGGCAAAAGCGCAAGCGAAAGAAATCCCGGTATAAATCCTGGATCGTGTACGTTGGTGCCCAGCGCTGTTTAACACCCCTTCCCCTTAATCCCCTCTCCCCATAATCAGCCCATCTATTTGTAGCGCCCCTTGACACCCCTACCTATCTTTCCCCTCCCTGCCCCTCCCCAGTGTCTCTGTTCTTTCCACTTGACTAATTGGCACCGATGGGATCAAAGTGGTGGTGGCCGTCTGGCTAGGCCCTGGGTTCCTGAGGTCTAGGGTGGGGGGCTATGGCTTGGCTGGGCACAGACTTTCTCACCCACTGGGCACTGGTGGCGGGTCTCTGTTGGCATGGGCACTGGGAAGCGGTGCCTGCCTGATCTGGCTCTTGGCTTATGCATTTGTTTGGAAATCAGATGGAGGTCATTTGAAGAGAGTTTGGGGAAGGAGTATGTACACATAAGTGAATGACATTGCGACGATGTGGAAGGTGGAATGGGCCAGGACTGGGGGTGGAGAGAGGTTCTGAGGAATATTGTGGTTGCCCTCTTTTCTCCTCCTATCCCATGGCAGGATGGAGAAGGTTCTCTGGTTCCAAGTTTTTTAATTCAGCCTAGGCCACAGTCATTAACATGGACTCTTATCTCCTTGAAGAATCTTTTCTCCTGTTGTATCTTTGAGGGAGCAATGAAATGTGTGCCTGGGGTAAAGGGTATACCTTGGCTTCCTATACTCAGGAAAGAGAGAGGGAGCAGCAGTGGCTTGAGGCCCTGGATGCTCCTGGCCTCTTGGGATCGTACCTGGCTGGTTCTGGGGAGGGTACTGTGGCCTGCTTCCCACCTCTCTTCGTGCTAACAGGTTGGGAAGAGGTCTAGGGCCTGTATGACTCTGTGCCTCAGGGGTCATTGGAAACGAATGATACTTGCAGCATCGATTCCTTTTTAGGGGAGAAGTCAGTCCCTTTTGGGATTAGCTTCCTGTGTTAAACAGCTGGGAATTGGTGGAAAGGGACTTTGCAAATGAGAGGCCCAAATTCTCTTGCTCCCCAATGAAGTTTCTTGGGTTAGACTTTCTGTCTTCCCAGGATCGTAGGATTATAGATTTAGAGCTGGAAAGGACCATCTTGTCAAACCTCTTCATTCTACAGAAGAGGAAGTAGCCAGTCCGAAAGAGATTAAAGTGATTTGCCCAGAGTCACACAGCTAGTAAGTGTCCGAGGCAGAATTTGAGCCCAAGTCTTCCACAATATCTCTGTGGAGCTGGAGGCATTCTTGAATTTTCAGCTAGCTCCACACCCCATTGCATCCCAACTCCCCGAAGTGGGCAGGATAGTGCCTAGTTGCAGGTTTTTCTCTGGTCTGTAGCATTTTGACATGTTAAAGCAGGAAGGGACCTTAGAGATCATCTAGTCCAACACCCTCATTTTGTAGAAGAGGAAACTGAGGCCTGGAGAGGCAGGTGACTTGCTGAAGTTTACACTAGTAGTGAGCTGCAAAACCGGGACTTGAACTCAGTTCTCCTGACTCCAAGTCCTGTGCTCTTTGCCCTATACCATGCCACAGGAGGAAACCCCACCTCCATTTCTGGGAGTCCTGAGACCTGCCTTTGCTCAAGCGCGCTGTGTCTTCTCTTCTTTTGCCCCATCAGACCAGCCTCTTCTTTCTGGACTCCTCTCCTATCTCCTCTCTGCCTGGTTCGGCTCCTCCATGCAGGCCTCTCCAAAGCTGCCTCTTTGCCTCTTTCTGCTGTAGCTCTCTGATATTGGGAATGGGGAGTGGGGTCGGTCACGGCACGACCGGGAGAGGGCACTGAAGGGAGGTGGGAGCCCATGATGGCGATGTGTTAGGGGGCGGGGGTATATTGCACGGGGATGTTTTTTTTCCCTCTGCTGAAGCTCTAGCTTAGATCTCTTTCCTTTTGCCTTTTTGCAGTCCCTGTGGGCCTTGCTCAGAGCGGAGAAAGCATTTGTTTGTACAAGATCCGCAGACGTGTAAATGCTCCTGCAAAAACACAGACTCGAGGTGCAAGGCGAGGCAGCTTGAGTTAAACGAACGAACTTGCAGGTTGGTTTCCCGAACAGAGAGAGACAGAGAGAGAGATTGAGAGAGATTGAGAGAGAGAGAGAGAGAGAGAGAGAGAGAGAGAGAGAGAGAGAGAGAGAAAGAGAGAGAGAGAGAGAGAGAGAGAGAGAGAGAGGAGAGAGAGAAGGAGAGACAGACAGACACCCAGAGAAACAGACTGCTCGCTTGGCTTTTAGCTCCCTGCTCTATGACTGCTACTTTCTCCTGCTCTCAGGATCCCCCCCGTGGAGGGTGGAGTGTCGGGGTTCTGTCCTGGCCGAGTGTCAGGAAACCTGCCCCTCTTGGCAGGGCGCAAAGACTGGCGTGGCTCCGTGTGGTGGTGTTGTCGTGGAGGGTAACGCCCTGTGATGTGCTGTGTTGTCTGGGACCAGGTGGTTGTTATTAATAATACTGTGTGTTTGTGTTGCTTTGTTATTTCTCATTGTTCTTTACCAGCATTGTTTTATTGGACCCTCATAACACCTCCCCACATCCCTGAGGTAGGCAGAGCAGATCATTTTTCTCTTCTGTTTGACACATAAGGAAACTTGAGTCCCAGAGAATGGAAGGGAGCCAGGACTAGAACCCAGGTCTTCTTCCTCCTCGCTTGTTGCTCTTTGTACCATACCATGATGTTATTGGGACAAATTGAGTGGCTCCTATCAGCCTCTAATGCTGCAGCAAGTAAAGGGTCAGGGTAGGGGAGGTTAATGGAAACCCTAAGGTGCTTTCTTCTCCAACTTGGATTTTCCCATTTGTTATTACTAATGAAGACCTAGATACAATGTCTGCCTGGGCTGCCTTTTCTGCTCGCTTACCTAGCATCCCTGGGATCGTGGCTGCCCACGGGGCAGGCATGCTGAGGAGCAGGACCTTGAGATGTTGGTGTGGGGGATCCGTTTGCCCCAAGGAGTGATGTGGAGCCCAGGGTGTGTGTTGGGGGGAGGAGTAGGGGACAGTAGAGGCATATTTCAATCTGCCCTCCCTGGGGTTCTAGGAATAGACGATGTCCTTGCAGATACAGTCCAGTAGAGAAGATGTATCTGTTTGCTCCTCCTAGTGGGACAAAGGTTTGGTATAGATAGAGGTGGGGAGGGATTATGTAGTTGGGAGCATCTGAGGCTATTGGTCACCTGGATTAGACTGAGAAAGCAAATTAAGTCGCCTCAGACTTCACAGGCCCAGCCTGTTCTGCCTACTTCCACTCTCTGACCTACCCCTCTAGCCTACCAGATGTGAGCTCAGCCTCACTAAATCAGCTGCTTTGCAGGGATGTTGTGGGTGATGAGGGATAGGCCTTTTCAGGGTTTGATTCCAACTAACCTTGGTCACTCCTTTACTTTGTCTTGTCCAGCTTTTATTACTAACAAATAATAGTAAAAGCTGACATTTTTATAGCACTTTAAGGTTTATAAGGTGCTTGACACATATAATTTAAATTCGTTGGTTCTCTGTTGGTACTTGCTGGTATGTCCCTTTGTAAATGTGAGTCATGTCTATTTCATCTCAACCAGAGTGGTAGCTCCTTGAGGTCAGGAACACTGTATCTTCCTCATCAGAACAGGAGTGCCTTGGGAATGGGGACTGTCTCCCCCATCAAACTTGGGGCTCCCTGAGGGCAGCAATTGTTTCCCTTCAGACTTGGGGCTCCTTGAGGGAAAGAAATGTATTTCCCCCATCAGCTGTGGGGTAGGGCTCTCTGAGGGTAGAGACTTTGTCAAATTAGAAGCTCCCAAAAGTTTCAGACCACATCTCCTCCCCCCATCCTTATTTGCCAGGTGTAAGACCGTGCATGGGAAGGTGGAGAGTAGAATGCTTGGACACAGTTAATACTGTCCATAACCCTTCTGGTCTTTGTCTGTCCTTGCAGATGTGACAAGCCAAGGCGGTGAGCCCCCTTCAGCATTTCCAGAGCCAGACCTCTCAGACCTGGAAAAGAAAGAATCAGTACAATTATGAGAAACCACAAGCCACCACCCACCACCACCACCGTCACCAACACTGACAACCCAATGATGATGAAACTAACACTAATCCAAAAGAAACCTTAAATGAAGGATGAAGAGAGGCGCATAGCACTTTGAGTCCGGAAGGTGTGACTCCGGCAGAAGCATTCCCGGGCAAGAGACCGAGCAAGGGTCCCTCTTCCAGTTGGATTGCAATTCTGTTTTTCATGCTGCTAAATCATGGAGCCAGGAAGATTAGAGGGTTTTATTTCTGGGATTCCTATAGACACACCCACACGCGTACATGCATTCATATATATACATATATATAAAAATAAATATATATATTTTATATATGCATATAAAATATATATATTCTTTTTTAATAATTAACATTGCTAACGTTATTGGTGTCTTCACTGGATGTATTTGACTGCTGTGGACTTGAGTGGGGAAAAAAAATACCCACACAGAATCCAGCTGGGGAAAGATGGGAGCAGTGATATTGGCATGGCCACCTTCTTTTGGAGGAGGCCAGAGCTCTCTATCTGTGCCTTCCACTCTGTCCCTCCCTGGCCTGCCTTGTCCTGCTGGCCCCAGGAAGAATGACTGAACGAGAGGTCCAGCACCTGGAGGTTGAATTTGACGCCTGGCTCTGGGTTTTGAGGGCATGTTGACACATACCCAGCTGTGTCTCCCATATTTTACTCCTCTATTGGATTGCACCTTGGACCTGTCCCCTAGGTTGTTGTTGTTGTTGTGTTTTTTGTTTTTTTGTTTTGGGTTTTTTTTTTTGTCAAAGAGGGTGAGAGGGTTGGGAGATGGGAGACAGAAAAGACGAAGCAGCATGGTTAGGAGGAATGGGGACCAGAGAATGCTACAGTGCTGGGGTGCTCTCCAAACCCCCCTGATGACAAGACATCTTATCCCCTGGGTCTATATTGCCTGGGTACCCTTCACAACACAGTGGAACATTTCTGGAGAGGGATATTACAATGATGTGGAGACAGGGGGTGGGGCATTTTATGTGATAATACATCACTCTCCCCCAATGCAATCCCCCTCCCCAAACCTTTTCCCAAGGAGGAGAAGCTATCCCCCTCTGTCTTCCTCTTGCTCACTGAGGCAGGCTGCAGAAGGCAGAGATAAACCCTCAAGACTACTAAACCACTAGGAAGCTTCCCCCAGAGTATTTGAGTTGGCTTGTCTGATGGCAGGCAGGCACAAAGGGTGAAGGGCGAATGGGTGGCCGGGTGGCTGTGGGTGTGGGAGTGCTTCCCTGACCCTGGACCCTGACCTTGCCTCCCACTCCACAGTGGGGAGAGACAGAGCAGGATCCATATGCCTGGTATGGAGGCAGAGAAAAGAAAAAAAGTGTTTTATATTACTTATTTAATATCCCTTTTTAATTAGAAATTAAAACAGTTAATTTAATTAAAAGAGTAGGGCTTTTCAGTATTCTTGGTTAATATTTAATTTCAACTATTTATAAATATACCTCTTTCTCTCTTTCTCTCTCACTCTTTCTCTTCTATTTGTATTTTTTTTTTGGGGGGAATAAAGTTCATGTTTCCAGTAAATCCCCACCTCAACTGGGGGGGGGACCATTGGCGATGGTCAGTAGCATGCCCCAAACAGGTATTTAATTTTTCTAACATTTGCCCCTCCCCATTTTCCCCGCTTCCCCCACACATTCCTGTTGAAATAAGGTTTCAATATACATCTACATACTATATATATATTTGGCTACTTGTGTTTGTATATATATATATATATATATATATATGTTTATGTATATATGTGATTTGATGAAATAGACTTCGCCATTCTGTTTTTTTTATATGTAAAAAACAAAATAAGAAAAAAATAGAAAATTCTACATACTAAATTTCTCTCTTTTTTAATTTTAATATTTGTTATCATTTATTTATTGGTGCTACTGTTTATCCGTAATAATTGTGGGGAAAAAAGATATTAACATCACATCTTTGTCTCTAGTGCAGTTTCTTGAGATATTCCGTAGTACATATTTATTTTTAAACGATGACAACAACAACAAATACAGCTATATCTTAAAAAAAAAAGAAGCTTTTTGTATTAAAAAATTTAATTCTGATCTCAAAGTTCCTCCCGTTTCTACTTCTGGTTTCCATTTAATTCCCTTTACTTCCTTCCCTTATATCCCTTTACCTCCTGTTAGGAATCTGGGTTTCTACTCTTACCTTGGTGGGTAGGGAGTTGTGGAGGTCACATGGCCCTAGTTGCTGGGAGGACCTCATTGTACCAGGCTCCAGGTAGAGGGTTTGAGTCACTGGGTCTCTGGCTGGAAGCCACTCTGGGCATAAAAGAATCTGGGGTTAACTAGTCTGAATGGGAGGAGCGGGAGGTGTAGGGAGTGAAAGGGTAATTAATGTTTCTTCAATGGGATCTTAGAGAAAAAACAGTTTAAGAGTTGGTTGATTTGCCTTCAGGGATCAAGTAGTGCTTTGCTCTGCCACTTGGTGAAAGGAAGAGGAGAAGGTCGAGTTGGGGTAGTCTTGAGCACTACTAGAGAGAGGGGAGAAAGAAGATGGGTCAATTCATGGATTTCCTCTGAGTTCTCCATTCCATTGGGCCAGGCTAGTGGGAGATGGGAGTGGAAGGGTTTGGTGGTGGATGTGGGTGGGGATGATCTATGGGACCTAATCAAGAAGTCAGTTTAACATAGTTCTGGTCCGAGATGCTTCCCCTTTGAATCACTTGCTTGATCCATAGAATGAAGAAAGCAGACAGTTGGAATAGTTAGACTGGTTGGCACTGTGACTTTCTCACCCATGCCCCAGCTCGTTGATGTGGCATAAACTCATTTGTGTTCTGTCCTCAGTGGGAGTGTAGAATATTCTTGAGTGACAGTTCTGGGTGGTATTGAATAGGGTTGTTAAGTACTCTTCCTACTCTTATCCCTGGCATTGATATTCTAGTTTCTTCCCTTCCTGCCACTTAACAGCTACCCTGGTCACCCTCTCTGTTTCTTCAATCCCTAAAGGAGTCAGAAGACCTGGGTTTGAATCCTGGTTTTGTGGCTCACAATTTGTGTAACCTTGGGTATGTTACCTTCCCTTTCTGGGCCTCAGTTTCCTCAACTGTCAAATGAGAGTTTTGGAGTAGGTGATCTCTAAGGGCCCCTCTTAAATTCTGTTCTTAATATTTTTGAGTATCTTTTACATGTCCAGGCCTATATCTGGGTGGGAAGGTGGGCAGGGGACACAAAAATAGAAGGCCAGTCTCTGCCTTCAGAAATCTAAATGGGATGTCAAAAACAGAAAGCAGAACAATTAAAGAATAATTAAGCAATTTGAATGCATGGTAAACCAAAGTATTTACTGAGCAGCTACTGTATGTAGAGTACAATGCTAGGCACTGGAGGAGATCCAAAGTTTAGATGAGACATAGCACCTGACCTCATGAAACTTATAGTCTAGTAAGGGGAGAAGATCAACACAATATGACATGATGAGTGCAATAGAGAAGTGCAAAATGAAGTATTTTGTGCAGTAGGAAACTTATTGATGGGGTGATGATGGAAGACTTCCCCAAAGGGGTGACATTTTCAATGGGCTTTAAGGGATGGGTAGAAATTAAACAAAAAGAGGAATAAAGAGCATTCTAGATAGAAGGGACAGATTGGACAAAGCTGCAGAGATAGGAGAGTGCAGTTTATGTTGTAGGGACAGAAAGGTCTTCAGATTGGCTGGAGCACAGTACTTGGAAGGAAAGTGCTATTTTAGAGTAAGATGGTGGCAAACTCTGAGAGGACCATGAATGCTAGGCAAAGTAAATAGAATTTGGTAGGCAATAGGGAGCCCCTGGAGATTTATTTTAGCAGAGGAATGACATGAAATCTGGTGGTGACATGATCGTTAGATCGAAAGGAGGTGGAAAATGGAAAAATTAGAGGCAGGAAGACTCATTAGGAGGCTAGTCCAGGTGGATGGTAATGACTGTAGTAAGGTGGTGCTCACTTTATGCCAGGAACTGTGCTAGGTACAGAGATGAAAATGACATTATTCCTGCCCTCAAAGAGCTTCTAGTCCAATCTAATGATGAAGTACAATAAGAGTTGGTCGGAGTAGTCCAGGAAGACTTCTTGGAGGAGGTGGAACTTGAGGTGAGCCTTGGAAGAATGTGCAGGTCAGGGTGGGGAAGAGTATTTGAATGGATGACAGAAATGGGAAGGACTTGCTGCATTGAGGAGTGGTATTTGCAAAGTCCCAGACAAGAACGTTAACAATTTGCAAAGTAATACAGTCTAGACTAAAGGCAAACAGGCAAAAGAAGGGTACGATGGAGGTTGGAGAAGAGGAGCTAAATAAAGAGCTGAAACCCTGTTCTCATGAGAATAGCAGAGAATAGTTGGCCTTTGTAAAAATATGACTATGGGATCACAGGGCTCAGAACTTGAAGGAACCTCAAAAATCATTTGGCCAACCCCTCATTGTACAGATGAGGAAACCGAGGCTCAAAAGTGAAATGCCTGATGGTGTCACGTAGTGACAGTTGGGATTTAAATGCAGGTCCTCTAACATGTTGTGTTATAGATTTTGTGTATGTTGTCTCCCTCTAGAGAATATAAGCTCCCTGAGGACAGGCATGGTTTCTTTTTTTGTCTTAGAGCTCATGGTGTACATATCCAGAGCTGGAAAGGACATTACAGATCATAGGACCTAATCCCTTATTTTACAGAGAAAAAAGCAAACAACCTGAGTATTAAAGAAGTTAACTCAAAGTTATTGTAGTACATGTGTTTTGTAAATCTTAAAACACTACTAACACCTCCCTCCCTCCTTCCTTCCCTCCCTTCCTTCCTTCCTTCCTTCCTTCCTTCCTTCCTTCCTTCCTTCCTTCCTTCCTTCCTTCCTTCCTTCCTTCTTTCCTTCCTATTTCTCTCTTCTTTTTTCTATGCAGAGCTCCCTATTCTTAGTAACATGGGAGACACAGAAGTAGAGGACATGGTTTTCTGTCCTCAAGTTGCAGACGCTGTAGTTGAGGAGACAGAATCATCCATGTGACACAATTAGGCATTCAGACCATCAGTCTCTACGACTTAGGATAGAAAAGAGAGGGATTCTTTTCCCTTGAGGACAGACAGCAAGATAAGCTTGATTCTAGCATGAGAGATAGAAGTTCAATATGGGGAAGAACTACCAGAGAGGGACAGGTGTTGAGGTATTAGGAATGGGAGGCCATTGGGATTTACTCTTGAGGTCCTTAAAGATAGAAGATTCTTTCATTTGCTTGGGTGGCTTTAGCAAAGCATTTCCCACACACAGGGGGACTGGATACAATGGTTGGTGGAAAGCTTTTCCAGGCTGCCTGAAGAGATACTGGGTGGGAGATAACACACCATGTCTAGGACATCATCTATCAGCATGCAGGGAGTGGGTGAGAGAAGGAAAAGGAAATATTTATAATCTGCCTGGAAGAGAAAAAATCCAAGGCAGAAACAGAGCCAAATGGAGTAGAGGCAGAAGCAAAAGGCTGGGTTTGGGGGAGGGGTGGGTGTGGGAAAGAAGTATAGATTTTTGAAGGCTGTAGAGCCAGAGGGTAGCGAGAGAACATGATAAGATGCAGGCCAGGGAGGGGGGATGGTAAAGAGAAGGAAAGTCAATCAGTTTCAAGTGAGTAAGAGAGCATTTATGCAGGCAGGCACTGCTGTTCTAGGTGCTAGGGTCACACTCTTCTCATGTAAATAACCATAATAATTCACATGTGTATAGTGCTTCAAGGTTTACAAATCACTTAGCTTCTGTAATACTCAGTTTCCTTCTCTGTAACATAAAGGATTGGACACATAAACCATGAGCTCTAAGGCAAAAATGAAACCCTGGCTGCCCTCAGGGAGCTTACATTCTCTAGGAGGAGACAGTATACACAACGTGTCCACATGTAAGTACACACAAAATAAGGACAACATAATTATGAGGGAGAGGCAACACTAGCTATAATAAGGGGAATCAGGAGGGGCCTCCTGTAGGAGGTGGCACTGATGCTGAACTTTGAAAGAAAATAGGAATTCTAAGAGGTGGGAGTGAGGAGAGAGCTCAGTTCAGGCATGGGAGACTACCTGTACAAAGGTATGGAGATGAGAGATGGGATGTTCTGTATATTCACATCACTCATGATTCGAAAGTTTCTCCATGGCGAGGTCAAAGCCCCTTTGAAGGAACATCACAGGAAGAGGGCTGAAGCAGCAGCGTCAGCAGAAAGTGGTTGTTGTTCACTGTGCTTAGCACGATGCCCGGCACATAGCAGGGCTTAGTAAATGTTGCGTTGACTTGCCTTGTTCAGTTCCACTACCCTCATGCTGAATCAGAGCAAAGATGGCTGGACTCCTCACTGCTAGTCCCTTCCCCTCTGAAATGACCTTCCATCTGCTCTGCATATGAGGGCGTTAGGTGGGGCAGTGCATAGAGCACTGGGCTTAGAATCAGGAAGACTTGTTTTCTTGAGTTCACATCTGGCCTCAGACACTTACTAGCTGTGTGACCCTGGGCAAGTCATTTATCCCTGGTTGTCTCAGTTCCTCATCTGTAAAATGAGCTGGAGAAGGAAATGGCAAACCACTCTAGTATCTTTGCCAAGAAAATCCCAAAATGGGGTCACAAAGAGTCTGACAAGACTGAACC